CTTTCCCTCAACTGGCACATCATTCTCTGTTGCCATATCTAGGGATGTAGAGCTCAAAAAAAAACCCTGGTATTTTTCCGATCCAGTTATCAGGAAGCCAAGAAATATCAATATTCCCAGTTTTCCAGGTTCCAAATACCAGCTGGGTATTCAGATCCAGTTTCTTTTTTCTGGATTCCAATATTATTTGGTTCCATTATTCCCATGGACAGTTTTTGACCAAATTGCACCAAAATTGAGGCAGAGGTGCTGATATCTGTCCTTTAAATAATTGGACCTATGGGCCCCTGAACAAAGTGCCCCCAGCCATCCTCCATTGCTTGCAATGGGAGGGGGATTCAATGCTTTTTCCAAGGCAAAAATAGCCAGAGACACAAGAGCAATCAAAGCAACCTCTGATCAAAGCAGACCGAACCAACAAGCCCAAAGAACCAATGTAGAACCAGGGAATCCTGGCATAATATAGCAAATCTAACACAATAAATATGCAAGCAGAGAATCCAACCCAACATCAAATCAGAGAACTGTTCAAGCAAAACCAAACAGGAACACTGTTGCATACCTAACAAATATAAAATCAGAGAATCTGTGCCAATGTACAATTCAAGAATCAAAGGCAACACTGAACCTGAGAATCTAGCACAAGCTTGACACAAACAAAAAAAACACAAAGAATACCATGCTGCAAGACGAACAAGACCAATTTAAAAGGACAGACTCAAAGTGAAACCAATATGACATGGGAGGGAGGAAGAGAAAAAAAGTCATGGGAGCGTTGAAATGCTGGCTCCCGATATTCACCCTCTTCCCTCCCTCGCACACAGGATTTCCCCTTTTTTCTTCTTGCTGAGCAACTCTATATCTATTTTCTTCCTATTTGTTTGTCTATGGCTGTCATACGCAATCACTTTAATACACACACGTTGGTCCAGCCCAGGGAACTAATGGAAGAGACACAATCACCTTCTTATATTCAACTTCTGAAATGGCACAAGAGAGGCTTTTGAAAGTTCAAAATAAACAAAATGTGAAAAGGTCAGATGGAATCAGGGGTAGGATGTATGAGATGAACCGATAATAAAACTGAGGTAACTCTGTAATCACACTAACTCCAGATAATTTGTTGTCAACAATTTAGTGTTCTGGCTATTCAAAAAATTTAAAACTTTGAGGAGGCTTTCTTGTCAGTTTCTGCTTAAATACGCATGCATAGATTTCTGAGTTTCACTGACTCTTGAAGTCTAGAAGACAGGAACATATAACCACGTTCCCAGAATCCTTCTATATACACAGACCATGGATCACTCCTCTTTTAAGAGCTATCTCCTTTTTCACTGGGCAAGGATTACTTCTCTTAACTAGAAGCAATTTCCCTTTTCGGCTTGAACAGGGATCTTCTCTGATCCTCTCATTCCTTTTGCCTCCTTCCCAGTCCACAGTCAGTGCTTAACTGACTCTTCTTCAACATTCAGTTCCCAAACTGTCATTTCTTAACTGACTCTCTCCATAGGATTCCATTCAAACAGCCTGTCACTCAAAGGTTCTCAGACTCTATTAGGCATTAGCCCTTGACAGTCCATCACACCTGAACATTTCCAGGATATTTTTTGGGACCTATTTCCAGGCATCCTGGATGGAGACCCGAATATATCTGGAAAATAACAATAAAGTATTTTTCAAATACATGTTTGGATCAGATATATCCCAATGTGCATCCCTAGTCATATCTCCTTCAACCAACAGAGTTCTCATATTAATATGAAGAACATTTTGTATCAATGTTAATAAATAGCCTTCTTCCCAACAAAGCTGTTGCATCCTAAAA